GGAGGCCAAGACAGGCAAACAAACAGAAACAAGTGGTGAAGGTATGTAGACAGCACTCAAATATCCACTTTGATTTTCTGTAAAGCATATAAAGCATCACTCATTAATCAGTTAATTATCTCACTACTTGGAAATGACTGTATGTCCATTTAGTCAGTCTCTTCTACTCATGACTCAAAAAATCATGAACATGATATCAACAAATAGGAGAGCCAGTCTTCTTAAAAATACACACTCCCACAAGACCATGAGCATTTGAATGCAGATCAGTCACTGACAAAGTGATGAATGGAAACGACACACAAGAGAGACTCATTGTATAACTTCAAACCAACAACTCATTTGGGGATACAGGAATATTAACTTTTTGTTCTCAAAATTCTGCTTTGAAAAGTGAAACTGTAAAGATAGCAAGTCCCTCCTCGCATCTGCCCATCTGAAGGGGCACAGGAGAATGAATTATCCAGCTTCTGTCCTTTATGAACCGACAGCAAGATTTTCATCAGTGTTTTACTAAGACTGGAACCTCATAAAGGCAGTGAGCTTGCAGTTTTAACACTGAAGGCTCTGTTTGCAAATAATAAGAGGCCTGATTTGGCATAAAGAAACCAGCAACAATTCTACTTTTAAATTATACTTTAGGAGAATGCAAGAAAAGAGAGATGAAGGAATAAATAAAACAAGAAAGTAGGAAACTGTCATTGGCCCATAAAGGGAGACACTGAAGGAAAAAACAAAGCCCATAAAATTTGAGACTTGGGAGATGGGAATCCTAGCTTCTCCCATATGGTTAATTTATTCTGGAAAAATCTATCAAAAATGGAAATTCAAAATTCCTTTTATTTATCTATTAGGCAATGTTACTTTGCTTTAAAGGTACCAGATGATTGAAGTGTTACACTTTTTGTAGGGTTTTTTTCTGTCAAACCAAGAAGTAGAGCATTCTTTTTCATCTTGTATTTCAGGTAGGTGATCTCCAGTACTGAAGTGGATAAACTTATCAACTAATTTCACATGCAGCACTGAGAAGTCATCAGATGCTAACAGCTCATTACTCATCCGGGTAAGATCAAAACTAATGACAGATGAAACATCCTTTCTTGTTATTAGTCCCCTGAGTCATCCGATTCCCACTGTATTGATCTTCATTTTCTGCTGCCTGCCTCTATATAACATGCAATACTGATGCAGGTAGCCCCTCTGACTCAGACCTTGGGCTCACCTACCTGTGATTTGTGAGTGAGGTGAGCTACTATGACACTGCTTTCCTCTGGAGTCTCTCACTCCATCTGACCAGGCTACTGAGACTGCTGTTCGGTTTTCAGCAGCATTTTTTTATGTTTAAGCACATAAATTCTTTATTTCTTACCAAGTATACTACTACTAGTGCTCAAACAAAAACTGGTAAATAAAGATCATATTAATTCATTTGCTAATCAAAGTGGAATATCTCAGTATCTTCATGATTTCCCAGGCAAATGAGAAATAAGCATTTTTTGAGATCAGGAAAAACATTTAATAAAAGATAGAGATAAATATAGAAATAGATATAATATAGATATGGATATAATAATCTTTCTTAAAAATGGGAAAACATAATGTCTTTATGGAAAAGACACAATATCACCTTCACATATAGGAAGGAGAAAAAAACTAAAGACTTTAATGGATTATACTTCCCAGTGAAAGGTAAATTAATGTTTTCATTTTTCTCTCTGACTCAGGAGATGTGAAAAAAACCACCTTTCTACTGATCTCCTTCTCCTATTTTTGTTGGTTCAAGCTGTGACTACTTTCCAAAATTATTGAGCCATGCATCAGAAACAGCCAGTAATAACTAGTAAGAATATGTTTTCCTTGAATGCTCTTTATTCTGTCTCTGTTTGCATTCTTTAAGTGAACTTATATTTCTCATTGTTCTCCCTGGCCCTTTAGCAAAAATGCTGGTGTCATACACTAAAGCTTACACACCATTCAACTGACACATTTTCCACAGATTTTGTTCAGTACCAAGTATTACATATTAATAAAGCATCACACTGATATTCCGTAATGACCGTAAGACACCACTGTATCACTGCATCTTTTTAATGAGATATTCATGTTATGATTAACTTAAAAAACTGCCCCCCACAAAGAGCCCCAAAACAAAACCTAAACTATTGCAGTGTTTTGTTGGTAAACTGAATGCTTCTTTCTCCTTCAAAGTGAACAGAAAAACTTTGGCATTTGCTTCCTATCTCTCCTTAGTAAAAAAAAAAAAAAAAAAAAAAAGATGTTTTAGAGCTCGATCTATTCTCTATGATTCATATTGCAACATTCATCATTTTAAGTAAGTTTTTTTTTTATCCATTTCCAGGTCTAATGGTGAACCATGGGCGAGGCAAATTGCCTTCTCTTTATTGCTAATACTCTAATCAGAATGCTCATGTCAATCTTCATGCAATTATTATTGCTGACCAGCAAGATGTCTATATAAAATATCTTCACTCCTCCAAAACATTTTAAATAAGTGGCGACAACAACAGTAAACCCTTCTTTTGTTCATCTAAATGCATACTCACATAAAAGAAGCAAACTCTCCTCCCTATCCTTTTCCTTGGAGCCTTAAAATTTTCAAATTTTTATTTGCTCTCTATGAATATATGGAATGTAAAGCAAAATAATTCCTCATATTTTCAAAATTTCACAAAGAGAAATAATCTTTAACTTAGAATTATATTTTTCTGAAGCTCAACAATGTGAAGAGCGTATAGAATATTATCTGTATTTCAAATATTTCTCTGTGTAGCAATTTTACCTGTGAAAACATTTAAGGAATGAGTCAGTAAATTAGATAGTATAATCACATAATTTTGTTTATTATAATCACAACATTTTGTTAAATTCAAATACCGTTCCCCAGGCTGATTTTGCTAATGTAGCCATCCTTAGATATGGTCAGTAATTTTGCATTAAAAAAGTGCCTGCTCTTTCAACTAGGTTCTCGCTTGCTGTTTTGAGAAGCAGTACTACGAAATAAAAGTACACAAAAATAAAAATAAATCTATAACAACATAATTAAAATGCTACCCCCTAAGACCCTATTCCTACAGACAATTTACGGACATTCTTAGTTTTTACAAGTTGTTTAAAGTACTCTTATCTTTTCTACGTGCTTGCAGGAACATGATTTCACTGTGGCAAGAGCTACCCATTTTGCTTCTGCCCACCAAAAAAATCCCAAACAATTGCAAAGCTCTGGGTTTTATGGGACATAATCCTGGACAGATGGCTGCATATAAGACATGCTTTTATGCATAGGCATACACACACATATATAAATATATGAGCATATAAAAATATAAATGTATATATTTTAACTGTAGAGCAACTGCTTTTGATGCACATTTTGGTCATTTTCATATGGATGCCTTTGTGGGTATTAACAGTACAAGCTTTTATTATATATATTTGCACTATTATCATCATGATCCTTAGACAGCAGTATTGCCACGTTTCCTAGCAATCAACAGTTCTGAGTTCAAGCCAAAAAGTTTTGTTTGCTACATAAACACAAAATCCTCAGACATTAAATGAAATCTGCTACTCAACACAAAGGTTTGAATATTTCAGATTCCATTCAGCGTGGAGAACTGACAGGAAAGCATATCAATTTAACTAAAATAAAAGTTGTACCGTTCTGGTGGGGCTTTTAGTGACATCTAGCAAAAATTACATCCCTGGTATTTGAGGTGGAAAATCTGCAGAGGGAAAAAAAGTCAACTCTCCTATGATTTTTCTTTCCCTCTGCAATTAATAAAGTTAGTGCATCAATAGAAAAGGTGTTGCATTGGTGACTGCTATGTACTATTGTATATATATTCTAACATAATCTTTAAAAGTATGATGTCTATACCAGTTTAAAAAAAAAAGAAAAAAAAAGAAAAGATATTTTAGTCTGTCTATTTTGAAATCCATAGCCCACAACGTAAGGCACAGATTAAATATTAATATGGATTATTTAATATAAGGCCATGCTGAACCAGCTCATGGGAAATAAAGGTCCATTCTTCAAAGGCTACTTTTAGTACAAGTAATTTCTAAAATCCTGAAGCTATTTTGTACACTCTTAAGACTCAATCCTTCTTTGTGACAGAATTATTCACCAGCAAAAACATTCCAAAAGTGGAAAACTAAAGTAGAGAATTATTTTTGCTGTTCTGGACAGTACAAAACTTTACAAATACTTTTTATATAAGTATTATCTTTTGCATTACAAAAATTGCAACTGTTACTAGATTATGGAAAAATTAGTTTAGACAACGCAATCTATTTCAAAGGACATATTTATATATATACACACACATGTATACTCATTGGAGTATATATCCACACATATAATGCATAAATTGATATAAAACTATGTAAATACCTGAATAAATAGTTAATAAATAGATTTTTGTGCCTATGACAATACTGACTTGGATTAGCTATAAAGTTTACAGCTGTCCTGCAAACCACCATAGACATTTCAGTCTTAGTTTCTCAGGGACAGGCAGCCAGCTGCAAAAGCAGATCATGACTGTTGTAATAAATATCACACCTCCTCTTCAGTATCAATTGCAGAGGGCAGAGATGATTTTTTTTTTTTTTTTTGTGCTGCTACTATGCCATTTCTTACCTTCATGTACTGGCCAATACACTAAAGTCATACTTGCTACAAAAACTGGCTAAAAAACAGATTCTGATCTGCAATAAAAATATTGCCTTTTTGCAGTGAATTAAATATTCCCTTCACTTAATTTACAGGACAAAAACACCTCTTTGTAAGGTCACTCCAAACTGAGAGAAACATCAGAAATTTCTATAATTATTCAAAGGATCTGGGATATCTCCTCCAGACCAGATGACTTTGAATTCCCCACAGCACTCATTTAACGCTGCTTTCCCTTTGAGCATCCCCTTATATAAGGTAGAGCTAAAACTTTAAAACAATATGAATTCACTTTAACTCTTACCAGAAAAGACACTGGGGATCTTGGAAAGAAAACTTTTCACTGTACGGATAGGAATCCCATTTTTCTCATCTTGCATGCGGGCTATGACATCTTCCATCTGAACAGAGAGAGGGGAAAAAAAAGAAAGAAACAAAGAATAAAGAAATGCAGAATTCTTTCCTAAAATTAATCTCCAGTAAATCCTAGATAGATCTCTCAGAATCACAGCTCCACTCTTGCAATTTCTGTCTTTACTTATATTCTATATTTTTATTGAACAGGCTACTAATAGCAAGTAATTTATTCATGCACAAGAGTAAAAAAATGTATGTATTCAAAGTCTCTTGAGAAAGAAATAGCGATGCAGAACAACTTAATTAAAGTTATATTTAGGTAAAGTAGGTAAAAGAAGTTGTCAAAAATCATTGGTGGATATAAAACTTCATGTTTTGATTGTATTAATGATATCGTACCACATATAAAAGCAAAATAGACAAATACAGACTTCTAGGGGACTGATACAATTCTTAAATAGACTATTCAAAACAAAAATAGAACTTTTAAGTTCAAAGCAAAAATTCCTTTCTTTTCTTTTGAGAAGGGGGAAAAAAATACAGCATGAGGCAATTTTGCATCCCTTGAGACAGCAGAGCCAGAAACACAAGATTTCCTTCCAGATAATTAAGTGGGTTTAAAAATATTTAAAATTGATTTGCTGATTTTTTTTTTATATACTATTATATTAGCTCAGTTTTTCCTACTCTATTTTTAGGCTAATTTGGACCATATATTTTATCAACTATGCCCAACCCAAAGGTTTACTTTCCTGTGAACTATGAACAGCAAGCCCTTTTACTGGAAAACAAAAATATTTGAAGTCATTCACTTATATCATTTTAATCATTTCATAATTGAAGTTTAAGCATTTTACACCTCCATTCTTTCTTTCTTTGAATATCTAACTTATCAAAATATTCAATGAAATTGTGATAAAATTAATTACAACTATTTTTCCTTTTTAATTAAATCACCAAGATACTCCATATGAAAAACTGTGTGATAGGGCATTTTATACTCTTTTACAAGTCAAAGCTTAAAAAAGTTTTCTGTCACCTGTATACCCTGATAGGTTCCTAAAGAATTCATTTAAAGTTTGTGGCTGGGGTGGGTTGTGGAAGCAGCCTAACAGACAAAATTCTATCATGTCCCTTTTTTCCACTGAAGTCAGATGACCCACATTAGCAAAGAGCAAAGCAGCATTGGGTGCAGCTGTGCATTAATTGGCCCAATAAGGCAGTTTATGAAGCCAGGAAATAGAACAGCATTTGGGGTCACCCACGGTGTATGTAGGAAAAAGAACATAAATCCATTAAAAAAAATAAATCAGTGGGTGTAACTGCTTATGAGAAACCTATTTACACAGAGGGTGTCTGGAGATTCCCATGCTCCATGTACTTTCAGATCGTACATTGAAAACCCGAGGAATGCAAACCCAAAAGGTACACAGAAGTAGCTATTGTTAGCAAGATATGAAAAACTGAGACTATTGCTCAGAATTAAGCAACGTGCAAATGTAACAGAAGAAATGAACCAATGTTCATCTGGCATGGAATGTAATAATTTAAATAGAAAAGGCTACTAATAGATCTCTGAAGAAATTGCCAAGCATACAACCACTATCTATGAAATGCAGTCTGTCCCTTCGTTTATTATACATATAGTAACTGAAGGCTTGTATTGACTCCTTCTAAATTCAGTTGGTAAACTGTCTTATTGATTTATTCATTAAACGAATAAGAAGTCACTCAAATTCAACTGAATATCTTTGTTGATCAAATTTGATGATAAATTCCACACGTGGGCAGAGTAAGCTTCTAAGAATATTGCTAGAACTGCAATGTATGTCACACTAGGACAAAGTTTAGAAGACAATTAGTACATAAGGCAACACGATAAAAGTACATTTGCATTACAATAAAGATTACTACAAACAAAGGGCACAAATCTGGAACATAGTATTAGAGGTAGAGAAATGTAGTTACCACTTGCTCAAGAACGTGATTGTAAATATTTAATGCCCAGCATTGTTAGTGCTGTCAGTAATCAGTCTTTTGAGAGTACATGGAATGAATTGTTAAGTGACATTTACATATGCTTCTCTAAACTTGCTTCATGGACATGATTTATTCTAAACTGAATAAAATCTAACTCAGATTGGGACTGAAGCTCTGGGAAAGTTCTCTGGTTTTGATTAACAAAGTGATCTCTAGAGTGTCTGCATTGCAGAATTACACTTTCCCCATCATGTCAAACTCATGTTACTGTTCTGTATTAAGAGTGAATACCATCTGTGCAAAAGGTAGCTCACACTCCAGACACCATCATTATGAACTACCTGGTTAACTCAGTGAAAAAGAAATTACTTCCTAAGTGAGTGGGAATGTTCTGAAATAAAACAAAACACAATAACATAAGGCTAATTAGTTACAGTTGACCTGGGATTCTGCATGTTACATGTTAGACTGCAAAATTCTTATTTGTCCTGTCCCTTTTTATACAAAAATCTAAGAAGTCACTTGCGGTTTGTTGTTATCTTAAATCTTAAACATAAGAACTCAAAAAAACCAAGCACAATTTTTAAAAACCAGTTTCATTAAAGATTTAAAAGTATCTAATCCAACATATGCAGGTGCACAGTTTAACTTTCAATACATGTAGTGGCTATTTGTATTTTAGCTGCTTTAAATTCAGCATTCAGAAGAGATTTAAATTAATCTCTTCCACTGACAAATATCTCAATTATATTTGGAAAGCAGCAGTCAAGGCAGTTCTCAGTCATTCATCAAAAATGACCTAAGACAATGAAAAGGACAGAACTGCTTAATTAGAATGATGAAAGAAAATCTTAATCTAATTTTGCTCAAGAAGCCTAATCTGGGAAACACATGCTGCTGCCTGATATAATAATTTTCCTTCCTGATGTATCACTGTTTTCTTGTGAGTAGCCTGACCTGAGGCTCAAAAGTAAAATATAGGCTTCTTCATTTTACCTCAGAATTAGACTTTCACAGTTCTTTTCATATGTTGTTACCTGGCTAAACCTGACTGTCTCTGATCTTGCAGCGGAATCTTTTTCAGCCCTAAACATTCTCAAAGAACTCAGAGATAAAAAATCCACAAAATGCCTCCTGATCATTCTGCAAAATAAACTCAATATGCTTTAAAAAAGGAAGTTGTATAAGTGCATCTTTTAGCTTTTTGGTCAACATTATACATCATTAATAGGGAAAGTGTAGCTAGGAAGAAATTGCCAGTGCATCACAGATGCTACAGCCTTTCTAAATAAAATTATTCTTCAAAATATGTGCAACTTATTTACCAGTGAGGCAATTCTAACCCTGACAAAAACTCAGTAGCCTTCTGATGCACTCACAACTCAGAACAAACTTAAAATATTAATATTTAGGACTTCATTTGTCTCCTTGTGAAAATAATTTGAAGCTTCATCTTGACACATAAGGACTCTGTGAAATCTATTTCAAAGACTAACTATGCCAACAGTGACAAAGCATTTTATAATGAAGCAAAAAGAAAGAAGATAGCAATATCCTGTAATAGAAAGGCTACAGCTTACAGGAGTCATTGAATAATAACTACTCACTCTGCTCAAAACACAGTGGGAGCTGGGCATGCAGGCATGCATGGCTTAGCCCAGGAGCAGGACCCATGGAGAACTAACATGCCCACAAAGTCATTAATATCTGACCACGACGAAAAGAGATTAAAAGTTATCAAATTTGAAGTGAAGGTGCTGGTTCTCATTGATGTGTGTTGCTAAAATCCATTGAAGGACTATGCTTATTAGGGTTTCATTTTTTCATATGATCATAAGATGCTTCTGCCATATTTGCCTCTTCTGCCTTTAATCATCATTTACACAAAGGGATTTGTCTTTCTCTGTTATTGGCAGTGGAGGTCTTGACTGCAAACCAAGATCAGTACCCTTTAGCTACTTACAGCTAGGTGAAATGAATATAACTCCTAAGAGCAGAATTTTTACGGTTCCTTAGATTTTAGTGCCATTTGGTTTGAGGGGAGAGACCCTGATCTTTAAATTTTTATATCTAAATATGAATTTCATTGCTAACCATCTGCACATCTTGCAATAATAATCAACTTTCACCATAGGTCAGCATCACTTCATCTTAAGAATTGTCGGGGGGGAGGGTTATTAGTTCAAAGACAAGAAAAGTCAAAAATGCAAAAGGTTTACAAGTCCAGGACAAGAATCTTTTTCCTTCACGTAAAATTGAACCTAGATCAACTCCACATAAAGATGATCACGAGACACAAGGATTCCAATAGTAGAAAAAGTAATTGGGCTGGAATTAACTGAAGTTCAAGAGATACATGGTAAAAACTTAAAGCTTTGACCTACTTAGACATATACAGATATATCAATTTGATTTCTGTTCCTAAAAAAAATAATTCAGTGACAGGGAATTAAGAGTATACCCAGGAACACTAGAATGAAACTGAGCTAATTTTGTACTCAGTATCATACCTCAGAACAGGGGATTGCTCTTATGTTGAGTGCACTGGGGTCCACTCATGCTACAACTTTCTTAATTTTGCTAAATTCTTTTTTCTTCCTTCTACACACATGCAAGGGGTGAAACAACCTGAACCAGCTAACTACAAACCTCATCCAAACTTGTTAAGAAGTAAAAAGAGTTACAATATGTAAAGATTTATTACACACTATGCAACAAGTTTCCTTAGAGATTTTTTTTCCCCTCCTTACTTCCTCAGACATTTTTCCCTCGCTACTTTATAAGTTATTAGTGCAGATGGCAAGAAGGTTGCAGGAGGTTTCTTAGCCAGCCACCCATATAGAGGTACATCAATAGTAATTAGTTACCTCTGTACCTGCTCTTCCTATCAACAGTGCTCCTCTCTTGAGCCCCATTGTACTACTTATGGTCTGTCTCGCATGCTGTCAATTATACTACAGATTTTCTATTGAGACCTTCATATTTACATGAATGGCTAAACTACCTCATCAAAGTTTCAGTTTAGGAGCCTCAGTCTTCCCATGTGAGCTGCTCTTTGCCCACA